ACAGCGAGAGAGGGAACACAAGCAGGGGGAGTGGGAGAGAGAAGCAGGCTTCCCGCTGAGCAGGGAGCCCGATGCGGGGCTTGATCCCAGGACCCCGGGACCATGACCTGAACCGAAGGCAGACGCTTAACGACTGAGCCACCCAGGCGTCCCAATTTATTTTCTTTTTAAAGCTAGATCCAACTAATAAACCAGAATGTCTCTGAAAGTAGCCAAAAGAAAACTTGAAAAATTCTATCTGGATTTTTGTAAAAAATTGATAAGGACATTGTTTTGTTTTACATTAGGAACAAGCATAACTTAAAGGCAAGGAGGGACGAAAACTAAAACTGTCCACATCCTTATGTATGGTCTCCTTTTTTTTTTAAAGATTTTTATTTATTTAACTGACAGAGAGAGACACAGCGAGAGAGGGAACACAAGCAGGGGGAGTGGGAGAGGGAGAGGCAGGCCTCCTGTCGAGAAGGGAGCCCGACGTGGGGCTTGATCCCAGGACCCTGGGATCATGACCTGAGCTGAAGGCAGACGCTTAACGACTGAGCCACCCAGGTGCCCCGTATGGTCTCCTTTCTAAATGAAAAGGCCAGCATGCAACACGAGCTGAATGTACATGTCCACTTCTCCCCTCCACTGCCTCACAGGGTACAGGGTAGAAGGTGAACACTTTAGTTGAATAGCTGACCACGCTGGGTACATTTTATCATATTTTCTTACTGCCATATATACACATACATACATACATATACATTTATGGATACATGTCTCTCTCTCTCTCTACATATGTATCATTCACTTACCCATTAGTTTAACTTTTAACTCTCTAAGCAGAACTTTCAAAAGAACAGAAAAACATATATCCACCTACCTTAGATTTGTCTTAATATATTTTTTCCTGCCACATTTGCTCATTATTAAGACATTTATAATCAATGCTTTGTTCCTTCTCCGTTTTCTTCTTTATTTATCCTGCAGGAAAAATTACAGTTGAATTGGGAGATCACAAATTTTATTAAAAAAAAAAACTCTCAAAAATAAATTAATTAATTAATTAATAAAATCTCTCCAAACTACACCAGAATACCCCCCAGAATACCCGAATTTCTATAAAACTGAGAAAACAGACTAGAAAGTTAAAACTCTGTATTTTATTTCCAATCTTACTTCTTTACAATTTTCTTATCTTTTAGGAGAAAAAACTCAAAAAACGTAAATCATGTGCTATTTATCAGGTTACTTCCTACTGAAGAGAAAGCAGCGCTGTCTGAATCACTGAATATACACTACATATAGCTAATGGTATCAGCTCTATTTTAAAATAATAATCACTTAATAAACTGAGTGAATTTATCATTTTCTTTTATCATTTTCTTAAATTTCATTCCACTGCAACAAATTTGTCAACCATTTTTTATCTACCTTAAATTCAAAACTGGCTTTTGTCAAAGAATTTTAACTTCAAACAAAATATTAACAGTTCCTTTAAAATCTCCAATAATCTATAGTCCACTTAAAAAGCTGTTTTTGACACTCAAGCAATTAAACCCCATTTTTTTACTAATATCTTTTAAAAATATATATTTGACAAGCTGAATGAAGTAAAATTGGCAAAGAAAAAAGACAAAGGAACTGGGAGCGCTTAATTCACTGTTGAGGTGGAAAGGATAAATGTGCACAGCCCTAAGGGTCTTCTAGGCATCTTTGCCAGCAATGGTGCTGCTTAGTCACAGACATCCTGCTTTCAGAGTTCCCTCCTAAGTGGACCCTCTAAAATGGTGTCATACCATCCTCATCATTTTAAAACTGAGCCAGTAGGTGGGGCGCCTGGGTGGCTCAGTCAGTTAAGCATCTGCCTTCGGCTCAGGTCATGATCCCAGGGTCCTGGGATCCAGCCCCACGTCGGGCTCCCTGCTCCGCGGAAAGCCTGTTTCTCCCTCTCCCTCTGCCTGCCACTCTGCCTACTTGTGCTGTCAAATAAATAAAAACCTCAAAAAACAAACAAAAACAAAAAACAAAAAACAAAACTGAGCCAGTAGGCACTAGGACAATGGTTATAGCTACCGTCCCTCTGTCCCCCATCTCCCAGCATAGGGACAACAGGAGATGGTAGGACATTTGAACCAGGCTACCTACAACACAAACAAAAAGCAAGGATGGTGCCATTCCTTTGGATTAAACCTTATTCTGTTATATTCCACTGGTGTTTTACATTGGGATATCTAATCTTCCATAAAAATTGCATAGCCTAGAGGCAGGGACCAGCACGGAAGAGACAGATAATAAAATGTCCCCACTCTCCAGGAGATTGCAATTTAATGAGAGAGACAGACATTTAAACAAAGAACATTGATAATATTATTTGAATAGTAATGATCTTGGCACCACATAAAAAGAGAATTAACTCTAATTTCTATATTTCTCTTGGAAATACCATTTTCTTTAATTTTTGAGTAATACATTCTTATGGTCCAAAATTCATAAAGTAGCAAAAGGTATGCACTGAAGTCCAGGAACAGCTACACACTTGCTCTTCCCAGAGGCAATCAGCATTGAAGAAAGTACCAGCTTCCAGCCACCACAGCCACAAGATGTCAAAGGGAAAATGACTAGTCTCATACCAGAATAATGACCATCAGACAAAACTGATTCTGACTCAGGCTTACCAAAGAATGATTTCATCCCAGCTACTCTCTAAGAAGTCATCACGGATTGATTGCCTGCTTGCCAAATCTAAAAGAAAGCTTTCTAGTCCCTATCTTCCTTATATCCCTACAGCATTTCCTACTCCCCAAATTTTCTGCTGCTTGAACTCTTTGAAACACCGTGTTCATGCTTTTCTTCCAAATTATCCAGGTCCTTTGTCCTCAGTCTACTTTGCCTACTCTTTAAAGGTATTCCCAGGTTTCCCGTCACAAAAATCTGCCCCCCCCCCCACAGGCTCCCTAGGCTACTTCGTCCTTACTTGATCAGTCTCAGATCTCATCTGCAGTCTAGACTTCTCTCTCCTGAGCTCCAGCCCTATGCATCTGCCTATTAGATATCTCTTAATGGTTTGCTCACAGATCTCCAAGCCCCAAATGTTCAAATCTAACCTCAACGTCCTCACTCTGCATCTCTCCTCTTGCTGTACTCTTATCTCAGTGAGTAACATCAACACTGACTCAGCCACCCCATCTGGGAGTTTTCCTCTCCCTTCATTCCCCACTTCCCATGTCCTCAATTCCTGAGGAGGCAATGTGATTTGGTGGTAGCAATAGTGTGTGGTATAAAAAGCACTGGCATTGGGGTGCCTGCGTGGCTCAGTCATTAAGCGTCTGCCTTCGGCTCAGGTCATGATCCGAGGGTCCTGGGATCGAGCCCTGCATCAGGCTCCCTGCTCGGCGGGAAGCCTGCTTCTCCCTCTCCCACTCACCTTGCTTGTGTTCCCTCTCTCGCTGTGTCTCTCTCTGTCAAATAAATAAATAAAATCTTTAAAAAAAAAAAAAAAAGTAAAAAGCACTGGCATTGGAAGCTGATCTGGGTGTTCCCTGCCCTGAGTTCTATCGTTTATTAGCTATATGATCTCAACAATAATAAAATCTTCCAAGCATTCTTCTCTGTCAAATGGAGATCTTTTTGTGAGGAGAAAATGTAATAATAAACACAAAATGTCCAACTGTGCTTGGAATATAAGCAAGGACCAACCACTGCCTAACTCAGCCTCAATAATTTTATCTCCTGTCTCTTGACTCTGCTCCATTCTCTCCATCATCTCTGACACTGCTTTAGTTCTGAAACTGATTATTTGACAAGATTAAAGCAATAACTGCCTCCCTATAAAGCAATTCGTCTCTCCCTTCACTTCACTCAAACCTCTCTCTCAACTTCTCTTAATCTACTCCACTAGACCACAACACTCTATTCAAAATGCAAAATCCAAACATGCTATTTATTTCCTTATTCAAAATCCTCCAATAGACCCCTTGCCTTAATAAATAGCCAAAGTTCTGAGCATTATAGTTTGAGGTACTTGGTAGAGGCTTAATAAAGTTTGTTGTAAAAGCATTCAAATTTTAAGGTATACCAATCCTTTCCATTACATTAATTTTCCAGGTTCAAAATTACCTTGTGTGGATTTGTAAAGCAGGAGATCCCATTTTACTAAAGTTTAAGCTCCGCATATTTTGAAAAACTCAGCTGCTTTTTATACTATTGATCACATCCAAATCTGGTTTCAATGTCCTAGAACATGCTACTCTTTGGTAGACAGGATTGACTCACTCATACACATACACTCCCACATACACAAAACACCTGAACAGTTAAGAGCTCAAATGTCCTAATATGTTCTCATACTAAGCTAATTATGATATATATTCTATTTAGCCTAAAACATACCCCTTGAATTCATTATATTTCATAATACAGTCTGAGGTTATTATTTTTAAGCTGATCTCCTTATGCCTAAAATCACAAGGGATACTGATATAATGTCCTGGATACTACCAATTTTCTAAAAAATATATTTTTTTAAGGACCTATCTGCTAAGGAAACTTTCTCTTTTAGAGTGGAAAGGCATATCTTAGATTAGTTTATTATAGGCAAATAAGAGCTTATACTAAGAGAGAAAAATGAGTTCCAAATTATTTTGCCTATATGTGAATTTCTGTGCTGTATCTGGAGAAAAGCCATTTATCATACTGGTAAAAATTTTCTATCATATATTAGGTTTAATTACCAAAATTACATCTGGCATTCACCTTACTCTTCATCTGTGTGTTGCTCTATTCACCCTCTGGCATACAGATTCAATTAATTTCATTGCTATCAAGTATCCTTTAATATAGAGCTCTCTATAACAGGTATTTAAAATACACTGATTAGGGGCGGCCTGGATGGCTCAGTTGGTTAAGTGTCTGCGTTTGGCTCAGGTCATGATCCCAAGGTCCTGGGATCAAGTCCTGCATCCAGCTCCTTGCTCAGCAGGGAGCCTGTCTCTCCCTCTCC